TATATCTTATATCTTATATCTTATATCTTATATCTTATATCGTATATCTTATATCTTATATTTTATATTTTATATTTTATATCTTATATCTTATATGATTTATAATATGTCTTCTATCTTTTATCTATCTATATCTATATCTATATCTATATCCATATCTATGTCTTATATCCCATATCCTCTATCTACATCATTATAAATCTCCCTTCTCACCTCTGGGAAAGTCCTGCGGACTGACTAGCTCCTTGAAAAAGTCCTGGGCAATGTGCGCCTGCTTCTCATCGTTGGTCAGCCAGTCCCGGAACCAGAAGCGCAACGTGCGCGACTCCTGCGAGTGCTTGCCCGTATTGGCGCTGACCAGAAAGACACGAAACTCCAGGGATAGGGCGGCCGGCTTGCTGGCGCTCTTCTGGCCGGCCACCGTGTCCTTGTTGATGATGATGCCCGTGTGATCGCCGCCGGCGACATGGACGCGATCATTGATCTCATCCACCAGCTTGCGTTCGATCAATATAACGGTACTGTTGGCGGTCTTGCCACGTGGCGTCATCACGACGTGCTCGATGCGCGGCGGCGTCTGACTCCGGCGGGCAGCGTTGCTGTTCTGAGCGCCGATTTGATTTTGTTGGCTCCAATCGCCTGTCGCTGCGACAATTTTATTGCAGTTGTAACTGTTGTTGTAATCGCCATTGTTGTTGTTGTTGTTGCCATTGCTGTTGCCATTTGGTAGCGTTCCATTGCCGTTCGGTTGCGATTTTGTTGGCTTTGGCGGCGGCGGCGGCGGCGCCATCTGTGTCTGACTTCTACGACCTGACATATTTCCCGATGCGCCCAGCGATAGCTCTAGTTATTCTTATTGGATTTTTCTACTTCTTTCACTGTTGTCCTTGTTGTTGTTGCTGCTGATGGGTTTTCGGCTCGGCCTTGAGGAAGCCCAGCGTGTTGCCTGAAAAGTACGAAAGTGGGAAAGTTTTAGTAAGTAAGCGTAGCCTATATATATATATTTAGACGGAAGTATTTGTGCGCTCGCATTTGTATTTCACATTTCCATATCCGATTCTCCGGTTTCTTAGTCCGTCCGTCTATCTGTCCGCCTGTCTCTCTCTCTCTCTCTCTCTCTCTGTCTGCCTGGCGTTGGCAACGCGCCAAACAAATTTGGAATTCATATAATAATTGGTGTCATAAATTTCGTGCCCACCTAACCCACGTATCCCTCCCTCGTCAGAGTGCAACCACCACCACCACCACCACCTGGCCGGGCTGGCGACCCAGTGACTTGCTTCTTGCCAAAAAAAACAAACAAAGAAGCGCACCAAAATAAACCCAAAAACAGAAACCAAGAAAATCAATAAGAGTTTTGTTACGCCAAGTGCATAAGTGAGCCCAAGGCACAGCAACAACCCCGAGAGGGCGCTACGCTGGGGCACCCCTGAAACGCTTTGCCAGCAATTAAAGACACAGTCCGTATTCCGGCCGCACGCCCGTCCGGCCAAATGTCACCAAAAGTTTTTTGAACCCGTTAGCCGGGCCACACACAAATGGGGTTGGATTGTTGCGGCTAGAGGGGGAGGGGGCAAAGGCGACGTGGCACTATGTCCGGGCGTATGATTCGTGCCAACAGAAATTTGCATAAGGTAAACAACAGTTGCTTGCTGCAAAGTTACGGAAAGAGAACGTGACGGAACGGCACAGGGCGGGCGGGGACGGTACGGGACGGGACGGAACGTGAAGGTCTATTGCGCACAACGCCAAAGTCAACTCAAAAGCCAAAGGCGAATGAACCAAAAAAATAAAAAAGCCCATTTAGAAGACAGTCGGAATAAAATATTTACAAACAAGGAAGCGGCACAGATGCATATGAAGAATATACCAGAGAGATGCCTTAATTATACTTTAAGTAATGTCTTGATCTGCTCTATCTCAGCATATCCGAGTGATAGAGTCTTGTGGCTCGGATAGAGTCTCAAATTTGAAACAGTTTCTTCGAACCATTTTTTGGAACAGCCAAAAATCTAGGATAAGTGAAGGGATACTCAAACAGTTGAGCATTCAAAATCCTTCGATTACTGTGAATGAATGAATGAGTGAAGCTTTGTAAGGTTTAAGGTTTCAAAATTGGATGTGCGTCAAACAATTCGAAAGACTTGTTGAGCACACCTCGCTAATATACCTAGCTAATCTGAACAGACCCCATTTCTCCATAATCTAGTCACTCAATTAAAAGCTTTTCTCCTACAAGCCAAAACCATCTTCAGAATCGATATGCGATACTCGATAATATACATATATAAAGATATCGATATCACATTTACTTATCATCATATCATAAATCACTTTTCCACCAAGTGTCTTTTAAGCCACATGTCTGCAGAGATAGAAGCGAGCAAAAACTCGTAGCTCTCCCTATATAAAAAATACATAAAAATACTTACATATATATATATATATATACACATATCTATATATGTGAGAAAGTTACTAACATACAATAAAGAGAGAGTATTTCAAGAGCTCTTATCTATACCAAACATTTAGTTCATTTTGAAGCCGGCTTCTCCCTTTGGTCATTATCCCTGGCACGTCTGGGATATGAGCTGTATTATGATCATCATCATCTTCATCATCATCATCATCCTCATCATCGTCATTGACATAATGAACACTCGTCGCAGCCCACTTAATTAGATTAAAGAGCATCTCCCCTGGCGCAGTTGTTGATGTCGAAAAGCGACCCAAATGGCAGGAGGCGTACGGCAAGGGGCAAGGGGCAAGGGGTGAGTGTAAAGGGTGCACACTCGAATTTCATGGCCGGAAATAATTTGCCGTCTGCAATTTCAATTTAACCCGCAGCAGAAGAAGACGACAACAAATACTGTGCACACAGTTTGACATCCACTGCCAATGGGCATTCCATGGCATGTAAAGCCAACCCAGCCCAGCCCAAGCCAAGCCAAGCCAAGCCCTCGTCATAGCCCAGCCAAGGCAGCCCGCTGGCCCAACCTCCGCAGTGAATGCATTTCTCAACTTCCGTTCGCGCATTTTGTAATCTATACAAGCTGAAGATGTTGCCGCAGAGACAACGGACAGACAACGGGCAATAGCAGAACTGAAGCAACACACATTCCAACAGCTCTGCATATAGTGCGCCGATCTTATGAGGCGTTGTCGACGTCTATCCAAATGAAATTGAAATTCCAATGCCAACTGCCTGGCGAAGCGTAACGCCAACATTCTATTAGGGGGAGCGAGAGAGGGAGAGAGTTGGAGTGAGAGGGAGAGAGAGAGAGGGAAGCAATGAAAAAAGGAGTTATGGGTGAGCGAATTGCCGCTTGTTGGAGTCACGTGTGCTGGCCTCCTAACCGGCGACCCATTACATGTCATATTTGGAGCGGGGCGTGGTGGGCGCGGCATGGCTTGAGGGAGTGAGAGTTACATTTCCGTTATACCCAAAGCAAAAGCAAAAACTTATGCAGGCTAAGCAGCACAGATGATGCATAGGGTAGGGTATACGAAAGGGTCGAAACGACATTGACACACAAGAGAGTTGACAATTTATGGTATATATACGATGCTCCAGTATAGTATAGCCTAGTAATATATTGCCTATAAAGGTATATCTTTATGGTTTTTAATGAAGGGAAAGAAAAGTTGAAAAGTCATTTAAATCCGGCTTATAAGACTAAAAGATAATAAATAATAAGAGTAAAGCTAATAATAATCATAATAATCATAGTGATTATGATGTTTTAGTCATGGACAAGTAATAATGATTATGATATTGAATGATAATAGCAATGACAATGACAATAACAATCACAATAACAATAAGAGTGGCTATGATAACGACAATGGCAATGACAATAACAATGACAATGACAATGACAATGACAATGACAATGAGAATGAGAATGAGAATGACAATGACAAGGACAATGACAAGGACAATGACAATGACAATGACAATGACAATGACAATGACAATGACAATGACAATG